AAACGTTTCAAAATTTGGATGTAGTATTCTTTATTGATTGTTTGACCTGTTGGTGCATATTCGTGATGTACAGCACCTTCACAATCGAAAGAACAATCAACATTGACTTAATATTGCTCCGACTTTGACGTGCTTTTTTGGTCTTGGCGATTCAGAATGCTTCCACTGTGAAGATTGTTGTTTTCTTTCAGGATCATAACCATAAACCCATGATTCATCACCTGTAATAACTTTTCTAAGCACATTATCATCATTATTGACCATTTCCAGTTTGTCCAGAGCGATTTCTAAGCGAATGTTCTTCTGCTCTGCTGTGAGCAATTTTGGGATGAATTTCGCACACACGCGTTTCATTCCTAAATATTCGGTTGAAATTTCTGAAATGATAATTTTTGGTATCCTTCTTCCAAGGTCTTCTTCTAGTTCTCGCACAGTCATACGACGATCTTGTTCGATTGCAAATCACACCCGCACAATATTATCTGCGGTTTTTGTCGTCGAAGGTCGGCCGGAACGAGAATCACTATCGACAGAAGTGCGACCATCCTTGAACCGTTTATACCACTCTTTTATTCGTGTTTTGCTCATACACTCGCTTCTAAAGGCCTTTTCCATCATTTCAATAGTTTCCGAACTCGTTTTCCCGAGTTGAAAGCAAAATTTGATGCAAATTCGTTGATCTTGTTTTTCAGTCATTTTTGACAATATCAAAATCCGACGAACGCGAAAAAGGCACTGTAAACAAAGACACGCTGCGCATGAACTATACGTCCGGCAGGTGTCAGTAAGTAACCAATAGATTCGTGATGCTTTACTGATGACGTTTCTGTCCGGTAAAGGTCGCTCGAACACTATAACGCGAAGATATAAACGTAGGCCCGATACTTTCTGGACAGACCTCGTATATATACTCAATTTCAAATTTAATTTCCCTCTCTCTCTCCCTCTTTCGATCGCATTCTTTTTACGTTTCTTTACGCCTAGTTTTCTCCGTCGTCGTTGATATCAGCATAGTGCACGGTTACTTCGTGCACTCTTAGTTTTATAATACAGAGAATTTCATACGAAGCATAGATATGTTCCTATTATTAAATTTATATTTAATCAATTTATTAATATATATGTAATACTATTACAGCAGACGTCGGTCACCACTTCGAGTACTGCCACCGTCTCCATGCTCCCGAACGTCTTCGACGGTGAATGTGTAAGTTTCGTATATATCAATTTTTAATATATCGTTATATATATATATATATATAGATATATCAATTATTTTTTCATAAATAACTTTTTTTACAGGTCTGATGATGATGATGATGGTTTGCCAGGTCATTGTCTCGCGTCCACCACCAGCACCACGACGCGTAACACACGTCGACCTGGTGACACCACTAGCATCCGTGATCGATTTTACGACGCCTCAGCCGCTCTTGATGAACTTAGTTTCACCAGAGCAACAAGAGACGTCCTACCAACAAGAACAGGTATGAATTTTTCTTTTTTTTTTTTTTTTAATCGGAGTAGTCTGTTATAAGTTTTATTTTGTTGCAGGCCGACAATCATGACGATACCATGCCAGTATGTGATGGCTGGGATTGCGCATACTTTACCGCTCGTCACTGCAGTCGGTAGCCGCAGTGGGTGGAATCACCACTACAGTGCGGGAGCAGGCGGCACGTCGATCGGACTGGACCGGTCAAACACGTGGTGCGCCGATTATTCCCATCATGGTCGACAACTTCCGAAAATACCCCCGCCGTGCGCCAGTTATCCCGATGGCGGTCGCCAACTCCCGTAAATATCCCCGCAGGACCATCCACAACGGCGCTACTGCAGGATCTCGTCATCACGGGGAAAAAGCTACTGTCTAACATAGACGACACAGTCGACGGCACCCCGCGCTATAAGATTGCAAAATTTTTCCCCGATGATTACGACGACGACGACCACGACTACGACCACGACCACAACGATAACGATAACGACAACGAGAACTGAGCGTCACTCATTATTATTTGTAATTATATTTTATAAAGTTATATATAAGTTCTTTTAAATTTTTGTATTTTTTATACGTATATATTATAGTAATGAATGATTAATAATAATATCTCCTTTATTTCAGCGAACACACACACACACACGCACACATATTGAACAGCAAAAAAAAATAATTCATCATATACTAATTATAATAAATATATATAATATTTATTATAATTAGTGTATATAATAAAAAAAGGAATTCATTATATACTAATTACAATAAATATATATAATAGCATTATTATTTGTATGTATTAGCGCTTGGGTCCCCATATCAATCGTGTAGCTAATATTCACAATAAGAATTGCCTGTAGTACTAGTGGTAATAGCTGTAGCGGTAGAGCATCGGCCTGTGCATCCAGTGGATGCACGTTCGATCTCCCGATCTGTCCGTCCTTTTTTTTCGATAACATTTACCTCGTCTTACGTCTGAAAATTTAACACACACACGTGCACACACACACAATAAAATCAAAGCGTGTAAGACAGAACGCACGGGCATCAAGAGCACATCAGCTCGGTAGGGGAGGGGGAAGTGCATAGAATGCACGGGCATCAGAGCACATTAGCACAGTAGGGTCGGGGGAAGGGGGAGTACATAGAACGCACGGGCATCAGCGAACATTAGCTTAGTAGGGGTGAGGGGGCACAGAACGTACGGGTATTAACTCAGTAAGGGGGGAAGTGAGTCGACAGTAAAATGCAAGGGCATCTCGGCTCAGTAGGGGAGTGGGTGAGGTGAGTTAACAGTGCTGAGCTGAAGATGCGCGGATATCAGCTCAGGGAGTACATCTCAGCTTAGCAAGCTGATACCCCTCTGAGCTAAGGCCTATCTAGTTTACCTACTCGCCAGCTATTGTTGTCATTGATCAGCTCGATATAATAACTATATATATGATAAATTAAATGAATATCCATCTTTAATAATTTTTTTATAAGTTCTTAATGTTTTCATTGAAGTTTGAATTGCCTTAAAACATCTTTATTGGCTACAGTTTTGCCAAAATATCTATAAGAGAATTTAACACTTTTTTCAACGACATTATTGTCTAAATACATTATGTATTCCATATACGTTGATTCTTCTTTACATTCCACATATTCTTATAATTTTCTTATGCTCTTCATAAGATAGGTAACGACACACTTGGCTCAAAACTCCATTGGTTGTATAAATAGTTTTCTTAATCCTTTCATTGCCTGCTTCAAATACATAGCCGGTATGTGCATACGATGTATCCCAATCAGCACCATACAAAAGTTTCATACCAGAAACAAACTTTTTCATAAGATAATCAGCTCTTTGTAAATCCATCACAGTTATTTTACTTTGCAGTAGTATATAATAGGTTTCTACAATAAACGATCAGTGATTTAAATATTTTTCAAACTCTGGAAATTCTTGAGATACTCATTGTAATACTGGTATACTATAAAAAAGAATCCAATTTGATCAATCAACTGCTTTCCAATAAGCACGATCACTCAAACTACGTGACAATCGCGTTAATTGAGTAGGAACTTTGATATTTTTTAAATACTCATCAATAATCTTTATTTTAGTCTTCGAAATCGTATACTACTTATTTGACGAACCAACCAAAAGTTACAAGCTTGTTTGCCTATGCCGGCATCAATGCAATGCAGTGAACATGGAACAAATCTATTCATTATATCGAAATTATTCAAAAGCAACAAAGGACTTACGTTTTCTATAGAAAAAACCGAAACATTAGATTCAAATAATCTTTGTATGAGATCAAATGTATCATTGCCGTTCGTCTTTCCGATTACTCACCCAATAAAGGATACTTTATAGAATAACCAGTATTATGACGGACCCGTACACCTGAATGTAAACACCAGTTACAACAATAATAGCCATTAAACTAAATAGTGCCTTGCATAGGAGCACGTGCGACAGAATCTACAAGAGCACAACGCATAGATATGTAAACATTTTGTTTCATTTTAAATTCTACAATAAATTCCATTTTTTGAAAGTTTATAATTAATTAATTAATATTTTTTTAAAGATCGACAAATGGACGCAGAAAATATATCATGTTTGGTTTATTTCGTTCAAATCACAGTGCATAAGTGATTATTTTTTTACAAAAATTTGTATGGGCTATATTGAAAATTTTGAACTTTTAAAAGTTGGGCTGTTATCGGCATTGAACATAGCAGTTAAATGAGACTCTTTGAGATCAACTGGCAATGAAGCCATAAATTGCTTATATTTCTGCTCATCGTAAATATCTCGAAAATGAACATTGGTTTCATTATTTCGTTTGCAAACGACATTAATATAGAAGTTATCATTTGTTTCAATAAGATTTTGTAGTTCGCTTGATACATCGATCATGACAAAGTAATCAGTATATGTCGGATCTTTTAAGTTGATATAATCATCACATTGCTCAAAAAATATTATTCGCTTTTATTTAACAAACGTGCCAAGATATACCTTACATACTGGCCATGTAGCGTGATACTTCCTATTTCCATCTGTATTGAATAGTTGATCAACCTGATAAGAATTCTCGTGTAACAAGTTTTATTCATGAACATTGTAACGGGTTGCTTACCGTTTAATTATTTTTATTAAGACGATCGCGTAAACTTACTCGCAATCACCTATGTCAAATAAGAAAGTCGGAGAGCAAGAGGAAACGGGTATCAGTCAACCAATAATCTACGGGAGTGAAGAGAACGCTCTGAAATTACTTGTTAATATCGTGTACGAAAATTCTTTATTATCTCTTAAAACGCTACATTAGATCGGCCCGCGTGTTTACGTTTACATCGGCGCTCGCTTGACAACAACATGCAGTGTCGGGACACTCGCTGCTCTTTGTCCATAGAGCTACTACATGCACGCTTCGAGCACGGAAAATTAATTGTTACGCATGCAATCGCGATCGCGAGATTAAGCTGTCCAGCTTACCTTTATTCGGCAGACGCACGAAGATCTCGGTGACAAGTCACACTGCGTGAAAGCGATCTGTTTGTTAGTTCGTGTCGCGGATCACGAACTCGCGCGCACGTGGCTTCGCCCTCGATGGCGTAGCCTCACACACACACACTGTTCAATGTCGCCGGTACAATGGCCTTCAGCTGGCTCAGGTCAGCACTCAGTGGCAGCGGTCGCTGGTGTTCGGCTCTAATTCGGACACTCCGATTGTATAGTTCGATCTCTGGCTCACGTATCGGTAACTAGTCTCGTATATACGGGCGAGCGTGATGATGGTTAGTCCCTCACTGGTTCAATTTCAATCGCGCGCGTTCGGTCTGCTCGCGTGCCGAATTCCTTCGTTACGTTTTTCGTCTCCCCGGTAGGTGCTGGCCCCGCAGGCAGCAATTAGGTTAGATTATTAGCGCTAATTTGACGTTTACCATCACAACATATTTTGCATTTTAAACATATCTACTAATCCTGCGTTTAGTACATGATATTTTTTATAAAATTTTATTATAGCTAATAGCATTTCTATTTTACTAATACATATCTGTATTTCGAGACAATCATGAGCTGCTTCATTTTCCAAGAAATCATCTAATTTATGAAATTTACTTTTAGAAATCTCATATTGATTGTTAGAAAAATCATTTAAATCTTCCTCGTCATTACTACTATCGTAGTAATCATCAGCATCAAATGGAATATAATCGAAGCCCTATAATAAATGAATACATTATTATAGTATTTTCTATAAATAATAATAGAATTAATTAAAAAATAATCGATTATATTGATGCTAATGATGTGTAATAATTACTTAATAAATAAGATAGACTTTTCCATATCAATCCATTGATGTTATTTATAGCACATTAGTAGGTAAACCACAGGGGCCTTAACTTAGAGGGGTATCAGTTCACTGAGTTGAAGTGAGTGAGTTGAGGTGTGTGCATGTTCAGCTCATCACTGTCACTTCACCCTTCCCCTCCCCCTTACTAAGTGGCCCGTGCATTGTCGACTCACATCCCCCTCCTACTAAGTTATACCGGTGCATTCTACGCACTCCCCCGCTCTCTCCTACACTGTTACTGTGATGCTCGTGCGTTCTACGCACTCCCTCTCCTCTTCTATACATTTTTAGATTTATCAGAAAAAAAATGAACAGACAGATTGGGGGATCGAACGCGCGTCCTCCGGATCCGCAGACCGATGTTCTACCGCTAGAGCTACTGCCACTGGTACTACGGGCAATTCGTATTGTGTATACTAGCTACACGATTGATATATGGTGGGGGGGGCAGTTGGGAGGGCCCAAGCGCTAAAACATACAAATGATAATAAATTTAATAAATATACTAATTATAATAAATATTATACATAAATAATTTATTATAATTGGTATATCACGAATAATTTTTTTTGCTGTTCAATGTGCACGCGCGCGTGTGTGTGTACGTGTATGCGTGTATGTGTGCGTGTCTCATCTACCGAAGATGGTTTAATACAAAAAAACGTGCAAGTACCTGTGAAGACAAAGATGAAAAAAATGCAACACAAAATCTTGCTTACTTTCTTTTATATGTAGCCTTCGTGGTTGTAAGCTACTATAAATAGCACAGTGTAAGAATTATCGATTCATTCATCAATCAGCATTCCAATAAAATAGATCGTTAATCAAAAGTAAAGTACTCTCGTCTTCCACAGGAAGACTCGGACGAAAAGAAGAACAAAGAATCATCGACATGGAAACAAAGTATTTCCAAATTTTCGAGCAATACTAAAAATTTTCCTGAACAAAAAGGCTATCAGCAGTTCAATAACGAAAAGAAGGACTAATAATCATATGTATACATGTCATCATTGTACACTACCTCAACTAATAAATAAACATTTTTTTTCATTTAAATTCTATGTTGTATAAATTTTTTTTGTTGATAAAAAATACAAAATTTATTATAAAAAGATGAATTGCTACTGCTACTGCTGCTGTAATCGTCAGAGTCAGCGAAGAATTTCGTTTTTTTTGGATGGTTTAATAAAAAAATAAAAGAATATTTTTTTTATATCAATTGAAACAAAAATTTTTTATTGATAAAAAATATAACTTATTCTACATGTTCTTAAAAAATACATGTTATTCTAGAAAGTATTTACTTAAAAAACAAAATCACTATAAAAATCCTTTAACTACTTCATCCCTCTCTTCCCAATCCATACAACAGCCATCGATGTAAAACTTTTTCATTAATTTAACGTTTTGATGTGCATATGTCGTTACGTATCTGCCGTTATGATTAGGGCACACGGTAACTGATTTTAATATTTCGAAAGGTAAATAGCCCCAATCATTCAAATCGAAAACTTTGAGGCCATATCTTTCTAACCACTCTTTGTTCAAATCTCCGGAAACAAAAATTTTTGTGGCATCTTTGAGTGTATCTGTGATGATGAATTTATGCTCTTCGTATTTATAATCGCCAGAGTTCCATGTTAATCCATGATAGAAGAAAATCTCTGGTTCTAACCAGAGATTATTTCCCTTATATTTCTCCGGTAGTCTTCGCCATGGAAAAGGAGGTTTGAACAAGCGTACGAGCAGTTCTTTGTTGTAGTTAAGTGGAAGTATCGCTAACTCTTTCACAGCATAAGTTTTGCCAGGCATCATGAAGCCTTGCATATCCACTACGTACTCCATTGCGATAGAAAGCTACTACTGAGCTGCTTAAGGAAAGAGTCAATTCATTAATACCCTTCCCCCCTCTCCTAAATAAGTTTCTTCACATCTCCATTTATTGGATTATACTGAATGCTGCCATCGTGTAGAATAAGACAATACGCTGTAGTTCCTTCGGGAATATTTACTCTGGTTTTTGAACTACAAGCGCACATCTACTGGAGCAGTCTTCAATGATGCGTTTTGTTTCGAATAGTCAATCACTACTTGTGATGGCATGTAATTTTTATATTCGAGTTTTTTTAGCATCGGTTCGGCATCCTTACCTTAGTATACGTTTTGAAAATTGGCATACATATCGTACAACATTACGTACTGGTTTTTACTGAAATCAATGTTGAGATTACCGTACGGATAGCACTGAGAGTTGCGGTACAGTTTTAGATTTCTGATGTTATAATGATCAAATATACTAGTGTTAGAGTTTGGTTCATTTTTCGTTTGGTTTGGAAGGCTAAGATGACGTAGCGTGGTTTCTCCAACTGATTTGTCGTTTTAACTGTCCAGACGTGATTTGTGTTTGCAGGGAGCGCTGGATATTCGTACAGTTCCCAACTACGAAAACTCATTCAAATACTTCGTTCGCTTGTTAGAAAGTAAAGTAGACGTATTTTCTTTGCATTCGATGCAGTCACATAGGGCATAAGCCATTCGAGGTGTGTAATATTAATCATGAATTCTTCGTAAGCTTCAACGTCGGCCACGGTCTTCTTCGTTTGATAAACTGCATTTAAATCGGTACTCGATCTTATGAGAATTAATTCATGTTTCATATTCACTAGCACTTTGCGATAGTCCTTAGCGAATCCAAGTACGAAGCTCAGAGGAATCAAAATGTCAAAGTCGTCATTTGTTTGTATAACTTATAAATAATAATTCGTACTTTCATATCTAGTTGCGCTAATGAGTAAGAATTCGTTTCTAAAATTACTCTAATTATCAATAAAATAAATTGAAAAATCAAATATATGCGAATATGAACAATGTTTCAAGGAAAGTCAGACTATGCCCTAGTTTCTTATAGGGCGAATTGTCCCATAAGCAGAGCTAAAGTCTTCTTGGGATTGGATATAATTCGGCCCAAGTTTCTTATAGCGCGAGATGTTCTATAAGTTATAACGAGTGAAAAATTCCTCGTTATATTCTCTCTCTCTCAAATACCTTTGTGTTTAAAATATATATACATTTATTTGTAGTATCTATTTTGTATTTGCCCTTTATTTAACAGCAGCGAAAACGTAAGGAGAATACGGTAAGAGAGAGAGAGAGAGAGAGATGCGACATAGGAACGGGAGAGAGAGAGGTAAGAGTCGAGATGGGGCGCGAGAGGTGTACTGCGAGCGGTGATTTTAGGCAGAAAGCAAATAGGCTACGCTTCGAACGGCACGGACGCGTTGACTCGAACTCCAGAGAGTTTTGGCGGTATTCCCGTACTGTATTTTGTGAGGATTGAATATATAGCAGACCATCCCGGTGTGTGGGTGAGCGACTGGACTATCCCACAATAAATGACTGGCAGTGTCGGTGGTCTAAACAACTAAAAAGACAGTGTAGTGTGCGTGCGAGCTGGCATCGTTGCCGCCCGCCCTCATTGTTTGATAGCCGACCCCTGCGAAGATCGCATTACTGGGCGATCCTGATTTTAGGCAGCTTCCTGGACTCGAGTGTGTCTAAAAACGACAATTGTAAGTGCCACTCGATTTTAACTCTCTCCCTGACTGCGTTTTTGCTCTCTCTTACGCACTGCGTTTTTCTACCTTGTGTATTATCTTTGACTATCTTTTTATTACACGCTTTGTTCATATACTTATATCTCTGTTCGTTCTTTGAAGCCTGACTCTCTATCTATTTCCTCAATAATTTAAGTTAATGCGTGTTCGCGTTCGGATAAATTCGCGTCTCACAAGAAGCCTGTATTCACGACGCCTCCACGGGCCCTTAGGCAGATCGGCCTTATAAGCGGCATACTGCGCTACCGGATCGGGTTTGGCAAGACATCAGCGAAATCTGCACACCAAATTTGATTTCCGGCAATTTTAGGTGAGAACGTGTTCATTCCGTCGAAGAACACACTTTTATATCAACGGGGATAGCCAAGATGGGCGAAAACCCCGTTATAAAGTTGAGCTCGAATTACAGGAAGGGAAAAGTCTTGCTCGGTTAATCACAATGAGAGAAAGAACTTAGGTATTAGCCAAGTTTATTCAAACTCATGTGCTCACTTTGCAAGGCTAGAAGTGAATGCCAGCCTGTGCAATAGTGGGCGTATTTATACACAAACTTTCTCGCCTATTTTGCAGGAGCGTTTTCTTCGAGAAGTTTTCGAATATTCGAGAAACTTTCGCGAATTTTCAGAAATAAGTTTTGTTAATTTACAAGTAAACAAACATTAATAATGAGATTTCAACGCATGTAAACATTACAGAATTCGTTATTTGTTGAATTAGTGTCGTCAAAAGTTATTAACTAATAAAGTCAAGAAATGTAATATTATAATATTTACAATAGAAAATTATTACATTTTTACATAACCTTATAGTTTATTAATTTTAGAAGTATTTTTTAAAAAGAAATATTAAAATTAGTTAATAACATTTGAATTATAACAAATTTTCATATATTTAACGGTTTTTTTTATAATCTTATAACGCTATTATTAGATTAATTATCTAAGATTTATAAACTATAAAGTTGTCATTATTAAGTATAAAATTAACGCTTTCGTTCTATATACAACTTATTGTTTAAATAAATTATTAATTGTTTATTTATTAATAACAGTTATTATGAAGCTGTTATTAATGAAACCAATTCTTACTCATGTTCATTTCTTATTCATTTTGCATTTGGACTGTTTACATTTTTCTAATAATTCATAGTTTTAGTGTAATAAATAAATTAACTTTGCATATTAAAATTCATTATTATTTAATAATTAAACGCTATTCGTATGACTATATTCTAAATCTACGTACTAAAAG